CATCGCATCGTATCAAAAAAGGTGTCGAAACACAGACTAGATGGGCCCTACGCTCCCTCCAGGCCTCTGCAATCTAGCATTGTGGATTCGGCCGGAGAAGAGACGACGACAACGAAGAAGCAGAAGGCGAAGAAAGAATCAGTAATCCCGTGTCACGACGCAGCATATGGCCTTGAAGGAGCTTGTCATGCTACTGTACCTTAAACTAAACACCCCCACTACAACCCAAGTGACCTTCAACAAGCAAGTGAGGGAGCGCGGGCAGAACCCTGATCGACGTAAGGTGCTGACAGGCCATTGCAGTCGAGCACACCTTGGCCGTGCTCGTCTTGTTGCAAAGGTCCCTTTCCCTTATTGTACGTGATGCAATGCAGCCAGACGGCGCGCCACACACTCGTGTGAAGACCACCTGAACGGGTCACCTCCCCACGCTGAGCAAATCCTTTCCGCATTCGAGGGCCATCGAGGAAGATAGTAGCCATCGGAAACGGCCGATGGACGCCTGTCAGGTCACATTGATCATATCTTGCGTCGGTGGCTGGCTATCTTCCTGATGATCATCGTCGAAACCGTTGGATGCTAGCGGGCATCGTAACATCGCGCGTCAGGCTTCGGCCGACCGCCACACACGCCAGCCGTGAGTTGCACAAGGGGGATGAATCACGCTTCGGAGGAATTGTAAGCAACCAAAATCAAGGTTTGCCTGCCTTAACTCTCGCATTCGGGGGTGGTGGTGCAATGCGGATGTACCCGTGCCTGCTCGAGCGAAGAAGCTTTCCTTGGCCGCTGCGCATCGCCGCACAGCATCGCGCCCATCAGGCTCCTCCCGCGACTGAGATTGATTGACTCTGATTGATGGAGTGATGCACACGCGGACTCCCATTGGCCCAGTGCGAGTCGGCGCGGCTCAGGGTGGCCCTGCCTCTAAACCTGCTCGACTCCGCCCTTGTCCCTCCATCCTCCAGTTCGGCAAAAAGGGAACCGAGTATCGTATGTTAGCACCTACCGGGGTCTACCTTACCTGTCAGTGAGAGAGGGCAGAACAGAGCTGAGCGCAGACCATCTCGGTGACCAGGCAGCCAGACTCGGATACACCCCTGGCGCGCTCTGGGCCAGGACCTGAGGGAAATCGTCGAGGGCATCTGGGCCGAAAGGGAAAAGGATCGCCATGGCCTCGGCCTGGGATAGCTTGATTGATTGCCCTGCCAGCTCTGCTTGTGTCTCCAGGGATCGTGGACAAGGCCGAGGGAAACACTGGGGAAGCGCCTAGCCGCGGCGACGATTCATTAATAGCGTCACAGTCAGGGTCCTTTTGCCGCTGTCAATGTCGCGATGGCTTCTCCACCGGCCGACTGAGGATTTGGGAGGCTCCGATTGTGCTCGGGTACGTCAAAAAAGCAACAGAAGCCTCTGCGCTGGCACTATCAATGGGTCTCACCTCACCGCTCATGTTGAAACGGACTTGGGTTGAAGGATTCAACGCAAGTGGGTTCAGTATGAATCGCGAGCCAAGACCGCCACCGGCCTCGGAGCAGGCGTAATTAGCATAGTTTTAGCATCGTGGCCTCGAGAGAAACCCGCCACTCATCCTGGTGTTTTGGAAACCCAAAGACGAACACGTTTGCTGACCAGAGAGCTATTCCTGGAGTTGCAGCGTACAAGTGTGGTGGATAAGGGTGTGTGCAACGGGTTTGCCTTGAAGGGGGCTCTGTTGAAACGCAGAGGCCTGGGGAAGGGGAGAGCTGGAAGGATTGTCGACTGACAGAAGTCGTCTGACCGAGAAAGAGAGATCTCGCCAGGCCAACTGCCGGGCCAAATCAGCAGGGCGGGTGAGCGATGAGCCATCACCTTACCTTGTGCCTTGCCCCCCTACCAAGCCTGCTGGGGGACCTGCTGCACTTTGCAGTCTTACAGGAGGGAAATTTCCCCGCAAGAATCGCCGAGATAAGTACCGCCGCCCCAGATTTACGATGACAGGCAGCACCAATTTTATCGGTCGGGCTTTCTCAGCTCGACCTGCCTAATCATGGCGGGAAGAATCTGGGGAAAGGGAAGCCCCTCCCCTAGAGTGATTGAAGCCGCTCTCTGCCTGCCTACCCCAGAGAGACACACGATCTCGCAGAGGATTTGCTGCGCAGCGCTTCTCGGGCTATCTCTCGGCGTCGACTGTGATGGTTAGCTGGGTCTGGTCTAGTCAGGACGAGGAGGAAAGACGGTTGCGTCCCCTCGGTCGGTGAGTTGGGTAGGCAGTTAAGTTGCCGGATGTTACCACCAGGCACGGCTTCTATCGCGTATAACAGGTGTGTTAAGCCGATGATGTCGGCTCTTGCCTATTCGTGTGTGTGTTGTATCTATTAAATGGCATATCCCAGAGTTGAAGAGAGATGAAGAGGCTCAGCGTGATCCATATCCTCTCCCAGGTCCCGATGACACAGTGTTTCCTGTTCCTTTGTCGAGCAGATGGCATACATGATGGCCAAAACCACACTTCAGATGCCGAAGACTAGAGCTTAGCTTCAAGCGCAATAACCCGAAGCCTCAAATCTACCTTGTCTCCAGTCGTCTCCGGCAAGTGCCTAAACGCGTATCCTGCACACCATCTCCCGACGGCTCTGCGGAATATCAGGTCAATCTGCCGATGATAACCATTCCGTGCCCTCCATTAGAGATGCGAGCAATCCAGGGCAGTTGGAATATTGGCGGTAGCTCGCTTGCCAAGATATGCAACCCAGGCGATTAGGAAAACCCGGGGGGCTCCCTCTCCTCTCACGGACATGGAAACCTCGCCGGGCAGCCAAGTGGTCCGGAGATGTGTCGCCTTCAGGTCAATCGATTCTCAACAACGACATGTCAGGTCGCGATGGCGACCTTCGGGGAGCCTCTGCGACTCACCGACCGACGGCTCCAAACAGGCTTTTCGGCAGGTTTAACTGTGCGCCCCACGCTCTCGATTGATAGACAGCAAAGGTTCCATTCTAGTTCGTGCATCCGGGTCAAGTGCCATTGCGTTCGCGCTATAGGGTTGGGGCCATGCGGTGCGATGCGATATGCGATACCACATCACACCCTCTGCGATGCTACGCTCCCAGTTTCCGTCCGGGCGAATCGGCAGGCCCCTTGTTTTCCTTGGGTACCTACGTAGTGAGGGCCGCCAGATGGGTTCATTGGGCGCTGAGAGGAGAACAGGTGTGTGTGTGTGGCGAAGCAAAAGTTGAAGGGAATCATTCCATCTTTGTCCTATTTTCCTATTGCGACGACGCGCGGGAGGGACGACAAGGAGGACCGGGTGGGATTCGCGAGAAACCAGACGCACACAATATGTATTCGTACATGTGTACACATTGGAGCTGCCCGTCCACATGCATAGGCACATACATGATGTACGTTCACTGCAGCCAGGAAAGACGGGATGGATCATGGCACCCGCTGTCAGCCGTGCATAGGTACGAAATACGCAGATGCCCCTTCTGAGTCTAATATATGCATTGACGACTGCCAAATGTGCGTCGCTGCAGATAGCAGAGGCCAACAAGTCGAATTTGGGAACTCCGAGGCGCCGGTGAAGTCTATATGTTTGAGCGACTATATATTATATCCTCCCATGAGAGGGATTTTTGATTTGCCTGCGTGCCCTTACATACATACATATATGCACGGCGGTCACTCAATCGTACGACTGAGTCCGAATCCAGCGCTTGAACTGTGCGAGAAAGCCAATATATCATCGGTTATTCTCAACCCCCTCATGATCGTGCCATCGCCGTCAGATATGAATGGCGAGTGGTGGGTTCGATATAGCACTGGGCTATACGCGCTGCATGTACGCTCACCCAACCGAACCTAAGTCCATCAGCTTACTACCTATCTTCTCGGAGACTCGGGGGTTTCCCTCCATCGTTGACTCGCCCTCGTATTAGATGGAACCGATTGACAATGCCCATGCGGACCTGATCCTTGTAGCGCGTGTCTTATCAACGTCTGCTGTGATCCATGACTTTATTATGTGGGCGGAGACAGCTAGATGATGAGATTCACCATTTCTGCGAAGCTCGTATTCTGCGAAAGCCCCAAAACAACCCCCAGGGGGATGACAGAGCCACCCCTACCCCGTCTCTACAATACGAGTTATCAGCCAGTTTGCGTCGGGCGTGCAACGGAGGAAAATCAGAGTCGATCATGCTGCTCGTCTGAGTATAGGGTAAGGACTCTCGTGGCGTGGATGAAGCAAAGTAATATTGGCGCACTGCGATGACACCAGGCCACTTGGCAGCCGAGTATTACTCCGGGACGTATCCTAAGACTCCCCTTACCCAATTCATGTTCTGTATCATGCAGAGACCCGGGTGAATGAGCTTTTTGGGGGGTGGGGGCGAAAAGAATCGGAGGAGTGGATGGTGTTGGGGGGCAGAAAGGGACATTGACAATGGAATCTGACATGATATCAAGGGAATTTAACCCAATATGGAAGAATTAAGATCATCATTGTAGAATGTAATGTATTTTGGATAGTGTTTTGGCTTTGGTTTTGTTTATCAATATTCTGGCTCTATCACTTACATGACAGTCGCTTGGATAGGTCTTGAAGCTACTATGATGCTAACACTTGCTACACCAGCGTACAATAACTACACATATGTCGAATATATATTCCTATTTACTTTCCTGGTGGGATTAAATCTGAAATGGATCTTGGTTTGACCTCAAGTCAATCTTTATTTGATCATATATCTACTTGGACCATCCAAAGACAATGATATGAAGGAAAGAAAAGAAGATACATCCCCTTCATCGACAACCCACCACAAAGCATCCAAAAGTATCCAAAAACATTAACATTTAAAAAGTAGGCAACTCCAAAAAAGGATGTGAGCCTCTAGAAAGCGTAATATATCCAATTCATCTAGTCATTTCTCCCCGGCCACTCCCCCTTCCCGGGGACGAATGGCTGAGAGCTATAGCAATGATCAACCCTCCCTTAACAGAAGCTCATTCGGCTCCCCTTACAGCAGAGCAGCGACCAAGGCACCAAGACCCAGGGCGATAGGGCCGGGTGCGTTCCAGCCGGTAGCACCTGCGGTGGGGACCGAGGAGGCCCGGATGGTGGTGGTGGGGGCGGCGGCGGGCGTGGTCACGGTGCTGACGCCGCCGATCGGGAGAGGGTTCCAGGCCGCCGGCTTGGTCTGCTGGGGGGAGTTGGCCGCCGTGGTCTGGACGACGGAGGAGGCGCAGGCGGTGCAGCCCGGGATCTGGACGGGCGCGGAGTTGGTCGGGGCGGGGACGACGGTGACGACGTGGTTGATGGTGCTCGTGGGGTTGGACTGGCAGGCCGGCTTGGTGCAGACGACGGTCTGGGGGATGGTGAAGGTGCCGGAGGTGGCGGGGCACCAGTAGACGGTGCTGGTGATGGTGGCAGTGGTTACGTGGCCCAGGGGGCAGTTGGTGACGGTGGGGGCGCACGAGGTGACTGTGTAGGTCTGGGTTGTGGTGAAGGTGGAAGTCTCCTTGACGGGGGGAGTAGTCTGGGACTGCTGGGACCCGGTGCTGGTGATGGTCGAGTTGCCCCAGCTGTGTGAGGAGGTAGTCTTGATAACTTCAGAAGAGGAACCAGGGGTGCTGGTCACACTGGCTGAAGAGATGGGGGTCCCAGGAGCACTGGAAGAGCTTGACTGAGGAGTCTGGGTAGATGACCTGGAGGTGGATGATGTGGAGGCAACAGATGAAGCGGAGGAGGAAGAGGATAAGGACGAGGCAGAGGAAGAAGACGACGAGGAAGAGGTCGTCTTAGGGGGCTCGCTGGTGCTGGTTGACGAAACGGAGGTGGTAGAAGCAGGCGCGGACGTGGAGGAGCTGGAGGTTGGGTTGGAGGACGGGCAGTCTCCGGTCAAGGAGGGAACTGCATTGGCACCCTTTCCAATGGCAACCAGGTTGGATCCGCAGTCCTCGTTGTTGGCAAGGTGGATGTTACGGTTGTCCCAATCATAGACGACGTAGGCGGCTCGAAGGAAGGTATCGCCGAGGACGGGGAAGTCTAATAATCCCAGTCAATTTTCTCTCCATAATTTCAAACTGAAGCAGCAAACACTTACCATCGCTTCGGAAGACCCCCAGCTGGCAGGTGCCGGGCTGAGGACGCCAGATGAAGTCGGAATAGGGGACATTGATAACAGTGTTGCCAAACTTGAAGTCTACTGTGCCCTTGGTGTTGATGAGAGCACAGTCAACTAAGGGGTAGGCGACGTTGGGGTTGGCGTTGAAGGCCTTGGCGAGCGCCTCGAACATGGCGCTGGGGAGACCAGTGAGAGTGAAGCCGCTGTCGAGCAGAACAGGCAGCTTTCCGGAGGTGAAGACGGAAACATCTTGGCCGTTGGGAAGGCTGACAGTAATGCCCTCAAGGTTCACCCAGTAACTAGAGGGGATTAGTACACCAGGGACACTTCGACAAACAAACACGCTGTTCTCACGTACCGAACCGTCTTGTCAGGAGTCTGAGCAGCAGGGACAATAGGGAGCTTCTCCAATTTACCGGAGAACTTCTTAGTGTCAATACCTCCGAAGACAACAGCACCTATCAAAGTATGAGCTCTTGTAACAGGTCGAGGACCAGGATATACACAAACCTCGAGTGTCGTCGACCTTGCGAATATCAAGACTGAAAGCTCTGCTGTTGATGAAGCCTCCCGAGACTAGGTTGTCAAGGACGTAAGGGTAAGGGCTGTTCCAGCTGGTCACACTGGGGCTGACTCCCAAGATACCGACGCTGACCTTGCTGCTGTTGGTGGTGACACCGAAAATCTGCTGGGTCAGCTTCGCAGCTATTGAGGGGAAGTGATTAGCCGAGTCAATCCAATTCAATTAAAAGTGGTAACACCCCACGCAAGACATGGCGGTGCTTTATGACTTACATCCAATGGTGACATAGTCGTGGCCGTAAACGAACTCGACTTTGCCAATCTTGTAGTCGACGCCACCAGGGGTGTTGAGGTTCACGAAGGAAGTACTCTGGGTGAACCTACCAGCCTCCTGGCACAGGCTGGGGTTGTCGGAATAGGCGCAGATGGGGTTGACCCAGAGCTCGGCAGAACCAGTATCAAACTGAAGCTTGACCGTCTGGCCTGGGGTACCGAATGTGACATCGATGGTATAGAGTGTGCCGAGCAGTTGGTTCTCCAGGCTAATGTCGGACTGTCGCTTGGTGAGGCTCTTCACGATAGGGGCGCCAACCGAGCCGGTGATGGGAAAAGCGAGGACGCCAGAATCGCCATTCTGAGCATCGGGGCTCGCCAGGGCGCTTGCGGCTAGAGGTAGGGCCGCGAGGGAGAGGAAACGAGAGAGCATGGTGACTGTTTTTGACGCACAGAATTAACGATTGAATAAGCGAGTGTATGATTTAACGAATGAATGTGTTCAACCAAGGAATGACTGCTAGAGACGAGGCAAAAGACAGTAGCCAGCGACACTGAGACCTAAACTAAGAGCAAGTGACGTGAACACTTGCTTCGACCATCTTATATATCACCCATACAGAGCCCAGCTCGTTCCTGGCGTATTGTGACATTGGGCTAACTCAGGCTGACTCTACTCCACCCCCAATCTCGAAGTCGACTCGAAATGTTAATACAGACATGTGTGTGTTGCCTGCAGGGATGCAAGTGATGGCGAGAGATGGGACTAGGGATGTGGAGCGTGAAATGTGAAACGGGCGAGGCTTGCATTGGTCTGCTCTAGCGGCAACGCGAGGCGCAGTATTCTGCAATGAAGAGGGCCTCCTCTGCCTACCGACACTCGGTTAGACCTCCCTCTTATTACATTTCCCACACGATACCGTGATTCGTTGCCAACTTCACGTAGGCTGTCGAATCCTAGGCGAGTACATCCCCTCGTCCGTATCTCGAATCAAAAAGGCTAAGCATACCATGAAGCATTCAGAGCGAACAGTCCAAGTGCTCTCACCGGTCCAGAACCACGAGGGAAACCAGGTGGCGTGTTAGACATGATGGAGATCCAAGTGGGTATTGCCTCTTCAGGAAGAGCTGAAGATGGAGAATTAAACGGGAGCACAACAACCAGCCCTATAATATTCCCAAGTCTGAGCTAGTCAGGGGTAAGGGCATGTCTTCGATCAGCCGAAAGCCGGGGTCTGCCTTCCAGTAAGCTGACTCGCCCTTCTGTCTAACTCTGTATAGGCGAGCTCTGCGAGGCCTGTTGACATACGCTGATGTGTGGCCCGAAGCGAGCTGTGCCACGATGTTGATGACTGCTTTTCTTGGTCCGAGGTTGCATCTAGGTTAGATACACAATTCATACATAGTAACTTCAGATCTGGCTGATCGTCCCTGGGATCTCCCTTGGACGCACACGCACCGATATCCTACTCCCTCTCTCTCTGAACCTCAATCGAATACGCTGATTGTGTAGGGAAATTTGATAACATGCTTGTCTCTGATACGAAGTTTACGAGAATGTCCCTGACCCTCCAGAGCGCCCACAGCGAGGAGGCAAAAAGCAATCTTGGCCGCTCAATGCGAGAAATACGGGGACCTGCATTGGCGATCCCAGCTCAACGGCGCGCGGTGTGCGCCAGTCGAGGGCCGCAATCACCTCCGATGGGCCAAAAATATAAGCAGTGGAGACCAGAACAAGTCTCCTCTAGGCCCAAAAGAGGCGCCGTGAGATTCCCTCATCACAGCTGCCTCATGCCGATTTACCCGTGGGTGAAAGTGTGGGATGTCGTCCTTTAATATGACTTAAAGCCTCCGCGAAGCCTCATGCGGGATTCTAGCTCGGAACGCCTAGATCAGCCACCTCCCAGGCACAGCCGGCGGTTAAGTTTTGGTGTGATGGATGGGGGTGTGGTAATTTATGGAGGCAGCCAGTGGAGTGAAGCTTGAAGCTACTGACGCCTTGGTGGTGTATCCGGGGTATCGGGCAATGATCAAATCTAAGCGTATGCCCAGAAGCGTATACGCTGGTATGGTGATCGCAAATTCCTTCCTACAACCTCTACGGAATCGCGAAGTTGGGTAAGTAATCGTAAAAAGTAGCAGGAAAGGCCAGCCTGAAGACATGGCATAAACATTGGGATACCAAGATTATTAAAGACCTTGGTCTTTGAAGGTAATCCAATCATGTTGCCGGTATTACTGGTCGAGGTTTTGATCAACTCTACCTCTGAGCATTAGGCTCCAAGTTACGGCAACCATGTGTTTGATAAGGGTTGTGTCCATGAGGCGTTCCATTCCCCCACTGGTCAACCCCTGGAGGTTTGAAGTCCGTAACTTTTCAAGATGCTTAATTCCTTCCTTACACCCCATCTAAATCTGGTCAACATAGCCAGATGGGTTGTTCAGCGTGACAGATGGGGTTTTATATCTATTCCCCACCTCCATGCTGAATATCGATGGATAAGCAGTATCACATGTCGAAAACTCAGCCAATTCAATTCCAAGATAGAAGAAATCTTGCGGGAGAGTTCGCCCCAGTTCCTGTGGCTAGTTCCCATCAATCAAGCAAGTGCAAAGAGAATTTGGATCGGGAAACCTGGATCTTTGGATGGCGGGTATCTTCAAATTAAGTACATCCTCTCACACACATAGTCTCCATTTCCAATTCCACTCTGCAGAGATAACATATTGCCCAGCGCATCTGCACTTAGAGGTTGGACGCAGCATCCTTCTTCTCGAGCTCTGCGACAATGGGCGCCTCGAGGGCATCGGGCTTGGTGGTGCTGGCCCAGCGGCCCTTGACCTTGCCGTCGCGGCCGACGAGGAACTTCTCAAAGTTCCACTTCACGCGCTTGAGGCCCAGGATGCCGGGTTGCTGCTCCTTGAGCCAGTTGTAGAGGGGCGCGGCGTTGTCGCCGTTGACGTCGACCTTGCCCATGATGGGGAAGCTGACGCCATAGTTGACCAGGCAAAAGTTCTGGATGTCATCGTTGGTCCCGGGCTCCTGGCCGCCGAACTGGTTGCACGGGAAGCCGAGGAATACAACGTCGTCGTTGTACTTCTCGCGGAGCTGCTTGTAGAGCTTCTCGAATCCTTCGTACTGCGGGGTGAAACCGCATTTGGAGGCGGTGTTGATGATGAGGACAACCTTGCCCTTGTAGTCCTCGAAGTTGACCTCCTGGTTGCGCTCTAATTGAAGATGAGGAAATTCAAGAGTTAGCAGGTATATTCATGGGAACGGAAGGGCCGGCAAGATGCTCCAGAGGTGCCGAGGCAGCAGCTCCAAGTCGCATCATGGATGAGATCGCGGGGTCACACGTACTGTCAAGCGGCTTGAAATCGTAGAAGCTAGTGGCGGACGACATTTTGCGGATTGAAATAAAGCTTCCTGAAGGGTGTCTGCGGAAAAGCGATGATCTGCTGGCGGGGAGGGGAGATAAAGTAGGAGAGAAGTATGTCGGGGCCCTCGTCGAAAGAAGCCTCGGCGAATGCGCGGGCGGGTGCAACCCGCCACTTTGCTGACCAACTAGGCCAATGGACTGTCTCAGCGGAAACGACCAGGAACCACGGCAGGGCCAAAAGGATTTGGAATTGCGCAACATGGCTAAAGCACCTGCTATTACCAGCTTGATTAGGGCGATTGATCCGGTGCTACAGAAACGCCCCTGTTGTGCGGTCCGGAAAACGCAATACGCCCGTTCCGTCCACTCAGTAGGAGAAGAAGCTATAGTATGGTGATTTTACACTGCACGAACGGAATGACGTAGGAGATGATGCACCCAAACGCGAGCTTTGTCCACGTTTAACGGACTTTGCGAGTCTAGTTTTTTCACGCGAATGAGGAAATGGACACCCGATCAATTTCGAAGGATCTCACTGTTCGAAAATATAATTTAAACAGATAACCGTGTTGCCATTAACGGTACTAACCGGATACCCGTCACAGGCTATTGCATGTTCCGGGTATCTGCTGGTAAATGGGGACTGGGCTGGCAACGACGGCACCCTTTCTTGCAAGGGTCTCAAGAAGTTGTGTAGTGTGAACCCCGTAGTTTCCGGCCGGTCAATGCTTCAATAATCTTCAATTGATCTCCAAGGCTCAACTTTTCCCGGGCCCAGCCTACAGATACATTGATAAAGAGCTTTGGCGGGGTAGCACCCGGTTCGGCTGGAATGTCGCATCTTCCTACTGCGCCCAGCCTTTAGCTGCCGTTAGTGTGGCACAAACCTGTCAAACAGCGATGAGATGCAGAAGACATACGCTACAGGGCAGGCAATGGGCAATTGCTGCCTCACTACGAGAGCTTGTTCTGAAATGCCGTGCACATCCCATTCCGTCCCGTCCACCAATCGCTGCACCAAGACGCCACAAGCGAATCTGAAAACCAACCACAACTCATTATTAATCCGCCCGCAATCATACAGGGTGCATCTGCCATTTGCCAGAGATACCAGATCACACCGGCATTGACAGCCTGCTTGCAAATATAACGGTGGCCATTGGAATTCTCATCCCAGCCAGTCCAAAACCCCCTCCTTGCCCCTCCCTCCCCCCATCCCAACTCAAATCATCCCACATCGGCCCAACTTTCTCCCCTGTTTCGCTAGTCTCTATCCCGTTTGTTGGTTTTGCCCCTCGTCAGTAGCGATCCGCTCTGCATTGTGGACCCTGTGCTGCGTCACATATGTGCTCCGGCTTCTCCAGTAGCTTGGAAACCGTTGATGAGCTGCGAAGCAGCCCTGGACGTAGGAACTCCATCCACCGAGAGAGGACACCCAGAGCCAACCAAGATAGCCCGAGCCCGATTTTCTAGGTACATGGATAAGAACCCCGTGCCGGGAATCAAATCTGCGCATCATACATGAAAAATGGAGGGCAAGCGCAATATTGTCATCGTTGGTGAGTGCCTACCCTGTACCGGTCTCGGTAGCTCTTGAATTCCCGAAGTCTGCAACCGTTTATGTTAACATTCGGCGGTTTCTCCTCGTTTGTGATAGGTGGTGGTATTATCGGTTCTACAACGGCTTATTACCTCACCCGGCACCCAAAGTTTAACCCGGCTTTGCACACCATAACGGTGCTGGAGGCGGCTCCGGCCATCGCAACTGGAGCGTCTGGAAAGGCAGGAGGTCTACTCGCCCTGTGGGCATACCCAGATTGTCTTGTCCCGCTATCGTACAAACTGCACGCCGAGCTGGCAGCAGAGCACGATGGGGTCAAGAGATGGGGCTATCGAAAGCTGGGTTGCGGGAGCATCGAAGTCACGGTATCTAAGAAACGCCTTGAGCAGCTGCAACAGGCCAATGGCGAGGGCAAGACTTGGGAGAAGCTCCCGAAGCAGGACGCGGCGGCGAAGGGCCTGCTAGAAGAGAGCAACTTCCCGAGTGATTTCGACTATGTGGACCGAGAAATTGTCGAGACTTGGGCGGAGATGGGCTCGCCTGGCGCGACCGAGACAGCCCAGGTTCACCCGCATCACTTCACCACTTCAATTGCCGAGCTCGCTCGGGGCGCCGGCGTCCAGATCAAAACGAACTCCAAGGTCACCAAGCTCAAGTCATCGCCGGCGGGAGTCGAGGGAGTCGAATATCTTGACCGCAAAGACAACACCACGAATGAGATCCAGGAGGTAACGGACATCGTGGTGGCTGCTGGACCCTGGACGGGAGTGGTGCTCCCACAGGCCAAGGTGGAAGGCCTGAGAGCGCACAGTGTCGTGTACGAGGCCGAGGTCAGCCCATACGCGGTATTCACAGACATCGAGCTCCCGTCCAACTACATACCCGAACACCGAGCGAAGATGGGCCAGAAACGGAAACACAAGGGACGCGTTGACCCGGAGATCTACGCTCGGCCTTTCGGAGAAGTATATGCTTGTGGTAGGTACCCACCCCGAAACCAGTTTGTGGCCATCTTCTGAACGGTTATATAGGCGAGCCTGATACGGCAATTCCCTTACCAGAAACTGCTGATCAAGTTGAGTGCGACGAATCCCAATGTGACGACATCATCTCCTATATCGGCACGATCAGCTCCGTCCTGGGTGCTGCTCCTATTAAGGCAAAGCAGGCCTGCTACCTTCCCCGGCATATGCGATTTGGCCAGGAAAGCGGACCGTTGATTGGAAAAACCAAAATTCCCGGATTGTACGTCGCGAGTGGGCACACGTGCTGGGGAATCCAAAACGGCCCTGCAACGGGTAAGCTCATGTCTGAGTTCATCTTTGACGGTGATGCTCAAAGTACCGACGTGAGTAAGCTGGATCCAAGGAAATTCAAAGTCTAAACAACCGCTGGGCGAGCGAAATAGACGACCTCAGATTCGCAGTAATGAATCTTCCATAGACGAGCAGATTATTTGTTTAGCGTAGAAGATAAACCTTGGATTGCTGCATGCTCACTGATATAAATGCTCTGAGGCCATGAAATTTCATAGCGGTAAAGTAAACAGACCCACTGCCGGTCTTATCGATAAGAACATCGACAGAAATTTTGGTGGCAGGTTTGCCCACCCATTGATCTCACTACGTTCTTGCACCTGTATCCAGCATTTACTTGCAATAAATATACTCCGGGAGCCCAATCATTTCCAAAAATGGGACGCGAAATCCAGAAGAAGAAGCGCCGCTCGAAGAGCCAGCCCATCCGGCAATCAAACCGCCTCAAGAAGCCCGTCAACCCGCTCGGCAATAATACCATCGCAGCCAACTGGTTCGTTTCTCCCAAACCCCGGCATGAATCGAGGAGCAACCTTGCAGCAACCTCGCACGATGAGAAGACTTAAACTGACTCTTTAAAACTAGGGACAAGAAGCAGACCCTGGCGCAAAACTACAAACGCCTCGGACTCACGGCGCGGTTAAAGGGCCCTACGGGCGGCACCGAGAAGACGCTGGGCGTCAAGGAGACATTCGGCCCCTCGGACCCCCTCTCCATCAACGGCTCCGGGTCGACGGGCAAGGCGCTGGACGTGGCGAGGGTGGAGAGGGACGCCGACGGCAAGATTGTCCGCGTGATCGGCCGGGCGCCCAACCCGCTCGGCGACCCTTTGAACGAGCTCGACTCGGACTCGGAGATGGATGACGGCGAGGCGGAGGAGCACGAGGAATGGGGCGGTATCCAGGAGAACGGGAGGGAGACCGAGGTGGTCAAGTCGCTGATCCAGGAGGCCCGCAACCCCGCGCCCAAGAAGAAGAGGTATCAGAGCGAGCAGGAGAGGGAGTGGCTGGAGAAGCTGGTCGGCAAGTATGGAGATGACACGAGGGCCATGGCGAAGGATCGCAAGTTGAACCCCATGCAGCAGACGGAGGCGGACATTAGGAGGAGAATCAACAAGATGAATGCTTAGAGATGTTTTGGCATCAGAAAAAGTAGGCCGTTGCATATATCAAAACCTCGGCTGGGCGTTTGGGAGTTCGCTTCTAGGGATCAAACAATGCTTTGAGAATTCAATACAATATATATATATATATCTTTTTCAAGCGATGCAGGCAGCGGGGAAAGAGCAAAACTGTTTCTTGGATATCATATCGTTCATTTTACAGGCATGTCATGATACTATACGTATTCCCTGGCTAAGCACTCGGCCCTGCCACCACCGAAACTCGTCCATATATAAAATGCTCCCTGAACGCCCTTCCAATCCAAAACAATGGGCGTGAAAAACACAACGCGGCTTTACCATACAAAACCCACAATATCTGGCCTCACCATCCGACCAAAGAATTTACACAAAAAAGGGTGAGGATCGATTCTCTCCTCCTTACCGCTCAACTCGGTCGTAGTTTCCTGCAGGGAATTGTGCGGGTTCGTCGTACGCGGTAGGCCGAGAACCGTAAGGCTGCGGCACAGGGGCCCCAGTTACGGGACCAGAGTTGTAGTCTGAGCTGTTGTACTCGGTGTTGGAATCGAACATGCCCGCCGTGTTCCTGGGAGGCACAGAGCCGTAGTGATTGGAGTCGTCGAAGTCATCGGCGCTGTACGGGTTGCTTGCGTAGTGGTTGTTGATGTTGTTGCTGCTGACGGTGCTCTGGTTGTAATCCCCGTATCCGCCCGCGTTGGCCTCGTGGTCGTCCATGTTCACCCTCTCGTAAGCGTCATCGTCGTGGGGAGCCATGGAGAAGGCGGCCTTGTCTGGGTCGATGCTCTCGCCGCCGAGCTTGCGGTTGTCGTAGCCCGGCAGGGATCCGTGGAACTTGAAATAGTTCCAGGTAAAGCCACTGACAATGACCGTGGCGATCCAAAAGACGCTGTTCGGGTTTCAAGGTTAGCGGCATGGGGTTGTTTGGAAACGGGAATGAAGGGGGGGAGGTTTATGCATACGTTTCGACAACACCAAGACCCACGATGGCGGCGCTCAGGTTGCAAGCCTTGCCGCACAGTTCTTTTGCGTTGTACGACGCTTGGGTGGAGAAGGCAGACAGCCAGATGATCACAAAGGCAACGTCGAGGGCGAGCATGGCGTTGGCGTTGGCCAGGTGTCGGGTGCGATCGAATCGGGGGGTCATGATAAGGTATACCCATGCTGGGATAGACATGAAGCACTGGGAACCGAGTTGGTGGTTAGGGAACGGCTTCGACGAAAGTTGCGGCGGAAACGTTACTTACCACACCGAAGGTCCAGCCATTGAGACCCACGATCTGAGCATCTTCCCCTCGGAATACTGCGATCTCAAGACACCAGATCACAAAGGAGATGACGAGCTGGGCGACATGAAGGCCCAGTTTGACGGGCGGCACATAGGATGGCTCCCACTCCCAGGTCTGCATGTTGACGTGTGCTGATTTCTAGATGCCTATATCTTCGGTCTGGCGGATGAAACGAAGGTTGCGTGCGAAGAGAGGGTAACTGGCGATGATATAGGAGGTTGTTGACGGGCGAAATGAAAAACCCAAACAAATATTAAGGCCTGGCCAGAATAAGCTGATTGGGTCAGACGGGGGCGGATATGACGCAGCAGGTAGTGTCGAGGAGTCTGGTTGGTTTCGTGAAAGCAGCAACGCCGTAGCAACAAAGCCGCCAAGACTTTGTACAGGGATCCGAAAGCTGGGTGGGTGTGGAGTTGGGGACTATGCGAGAGAGCTGAGCGGGGAGAAGATGACGGCGAGGTCAGCAGGGGACTTCTCCAATGCCTTGGACAACCCAGATAAATATTGTAAAGAATGTGGTAGTATTCAGTTGCCGAAGGCGATTAGGAAAAGGGGGAACCAAGACGATATACACGCACCAAGGAAAAGAAACAGCCTTCTATCAATTGAGTTGGTGCCTGGTCCAGCCAAAGCCCTCCGGAAGCCGCGCGTTGACACCGGGCAACATGGTGGCGTCCAAACACACAAAGAGCTGTCGCAGCCGCAAAGCCACGGTGGGGCCTTCGCTGTTGCTCCGCCACGGGAGAGCCTCAGCCTGTGAAGCGAAGTGGGCCGAAAATAGCAGCGTCTAATTCTCTGTCGGGACCCTAGGCGAGTACTCGATGTCGCAGTGTGAACTGGTGCAGTGCCGGGTACCTGGCTATCAGGACCGCTCACTGAAGTCCTCATCCCGCTCCGTGGCCGAGTCCAGGTGTGACGAATCTGCCTGGGCCATAGCGGACAGCGCACTCGTCATCACCAAACTAGCTGGGGCTCGAGGCCGACTGGCCAGGTCAGCGACTTTGCGTCTTTGGCAGTTAGGTAATATCCATGGAATCGGACTATATCCTAGACTGCTCTGTCCTGTAACGGAATGCCAGTGGCCGTCTCGGCCTGATCCCGAAATCAAGTCAGCATGCCAAAGACTTATACTCAAAACATTCTGTCCTCCGATTGATTGGAAAAAGAGGGGATTCTGGAGATCCAGCATCCTGTCCTGCCCTGTCAGGCAAAGTAAGCATGCGTGTGCACATAGCCCCGTTGGTGCTGTTATCTGTTTTCTCTTCATCAAGACAGCCTTATCGCTAAGCTGATGATCAAAATTTCCCGCTAAATGCTCACCTACCCATCTATTCTGCAACTAATGGATTATACTGCACTTACCTAGTGCAAACCAGCAGACTATTGGGGTTAGCTCTAGGGCTGAGAGCTTCCCAAGAACTTGACGAGCCCTTCAACTTTTCTCTACGTCACTAGGCTTACGTGGTGGTGGCCTATCATCATTAGGGTTTGACTTCCCAGCGCGGCACCTACGGAGGATTTCGTCTTGCCTAGACGGCACGGGCCTTTCTCAAAAAGTACTATCTACTCAGGTAGATGATACAAGTTCCCTTTCCAGAGCTAAATTACAGACTACCTACTAGAAGGCAGACAGGTCCAGTGCATCAGGACAAATTGGCTCTGTCAACCAAGGAAAAGGAAAGCAGCTCATTTTTAGCCTCGGAGTTATCAAATGCGGCCTGTAGAATAAGATATATATTGTGACCTGTTCTAAAGCCAAATGCAAGACAGTCTTAAAGGCGAAAGTCTGTAGTTCTCGGAATTCAATTCAACTAGGCGATGGGTGCTGGACAACTGAGCTCTCTTCCACGTAGGCTTAGCGATTGATCAAGGCAGTCAAATCAGTGATGGCCAACGAATGTCGATTGTTTCATGGTCGTTGATTTTCTTGTCGTTACCTTCTTTCTGCAAGCCTCTTCGCTACCAACCGAATTGCACAAAAGGACTAAAACCTACATCAATAGAGAGCTGTCTCTACTGGGGCTTTGTAGTTCAATCCTGCAAGAAATGCCAAAGGAAAGCCCTCCCATTTGATAAATGACACGGAGCTTGGCTAATCATTCTTTAAGCATACAAAAACATGGGATTGCAAACTTTGCGGGCGGCAACAATGGAGAAACACATGTTGTAGGTGTAATACAAGACAGAAACAGCGATCTTATAATCAATCGTACTGTTTTGAGGTTCTAATATTCAACGATACCCTCCCGAATATTTGTCTATAAATTGTTCCTAGACATTTCAAGTCATGACGACTGCGCCCTGGACATTGTTTGCCACATCATCTAGTAAGATTGGCTGACCAGTACATTTCCGCGCCGTGGTTGGGGGATTGATACTCGCGTTCAACAACGTAAGAGTTCACCCATTAGTCGGAAATTTTGAGGCGCGTATATGTGTATGCGCTCCCGCACAGGGCTGCAGACCATATTCTTTCTATCAAGATACTTGGGTTTCCCCTGGCTGCCACTCTGTGCCAGATCAATATCGACCGAGGCTGGTCTCCGAGGGGAGTGAACTGGGGTTATACAGATTCACGAATTCTGCTCGAGGATGAAACGGCAGATTTCCCTTCCTTTTCGATTGTTTTCTCATCCATGATCAATGCAGGTGTCATGAGAAATTGAAGTAGACGAAGATAAGATTGTCTGGAATTTTTCTCTACGTAAGTATGAATAAATACAAAGTATAACAATCTGACGGCTAGATCAGGCGAAATGTGAGTTAAGCAAGGTTTAAATAGCAAATTATAGCTGGTAGAAGGGAAGAAGCAGCAACGGATGAGGGGTTGGATGCATTTTGCAGAAGGATGTACACCACGAAATGTGTCGTTGAGACCCGTATCAAGCAATCTCATGGCAAGCAAGAGTCCCCTGCTAAAAAACAATTTCACCTTCAGGCGAGGCTACAACTCGAAGAATATCGTCTTCATGGGTGGGAATGTATACAGTAACCCCATCACACCTCGATGTTTCACCTGCACGAAGGTACTAACCTTGCTATAAGGCTGAAGGAGCACCTACATAATAACTTGGGTCAATTGCTGCGACAAGCAGGAGGCTCGTCACAGCATAGCAGGTGTTGGTACATCGGATGCTCTCAGCGTCTCTCCAATGTAGAGTGAAGAGTGTGGTGCTTGAGGAAGAGAATCGAAACCAGCGCCCCAGTGGCCAGGACAAGGAAAGTGATCCAAACGCCCTGGAAAGCCTGCATGAAGCACGCTATAACACCGTCGTGCCACCCCTCGGGGAGATCCTTGAGGCTGTTCAGATTATTCCGGATCCGGTTGATCTTCTCAGCCGCGTCTGGCTCCTGCCCGAATGTCGCCCAGAGGCTCGACTTGAGAATGCTCTGGTATACCGACGAGGCTAGGGTAACGCCGATGGTGCTTCCCAAGCTCCTTGCCAAATCTAAAGGCGAGTTAGCAAATCTTTCTCTTTTCTTTACTAGAAAGCCAAAAAGAAGGAACATATGACTTACAAGTAGCGGAAGTGACAACGGCCTGCTGAGAATGATCCACCGATGCAATGCAGGCCAGTAAAGTGCATGTGAGCATTGAGGCATATCCTGACCCGACTAGGAAAAAAGCAATGCCGGTAATCCAAGCCGGGGTATTTGCTCCTTGGAAGCAAAAGACGATTATGCCAGAAAGGAAAATAC